TTAGTGAAAGTTAGCTAAGCAAAGATGGATAGATGAATCATCTCAGGCAGAGAAAATGCCCCACCCAAATATTCTTAACCAGATGAACCTTCTCATACATAGTAGGAGAGATAGGCAGCCTGAAAAGACATAACATGGATGCATCAAAGGTGATACACACACTGATGGAAGTTTGGAAAGGTCTCTGTTGGTGGCTAAGGACATTTCTTAGCTGAGCGGGAGCCAGAGGAGGGATATAGTCGGGATTGTAACATCTGTAACTAGAGGGGTAAACTGAATCAGTGGTTTGTTTCTTTAAATTTGTTTTTATTGAATTTTTGTGTATTTCATACAGAGCATCTCAATCAGTCTTAATCATCTTTATACCGTTGTCCCCACCGGCACCCTCCCATAGCCTCTGCACTGGAGCCCATGGTTTCTACCTTAGTCTAGGTTCTCTGGAAACAAACCTTGAGGCAATGATTCAGTGCTGGTGATATATTGGAGGTGTATTTCTGGAAAGGGAAGTAAAAGACAAAGAAGATGAAACCAGGAATGCTAGGAAACAACACAAGTTAATATGTTGCTGGGCTGCTCACTATTTTCTGTTTCAGGAACAAGCTGCTTAGCATATATAGATGTACATGACCATCGGTAGTCAAGCAATATAGAATCATTTTGGGAACAGTCTCTGAGGGTGAAGGAGGTGTCAGAATTATCTTCTCCCTTTTATTCATTGATGAAAGTTCACTGCACAAGAAACAATCTCTTTGCAGTTTCTTGGAGATTGTCAGGCAGGTGATCTGAGAGTCATATTGTATCCCACAGTGTGACTTTGCATTTAAATGCACAACCTGCCTTAGAAGCCAGGAAGTCCAGTTATGTGGCAGCTAGGATGAACAGTAGCAGCCAAGGAGAGGACCCAACCCATTCAGAGAAGTAAAAGATGGCCACCTGTAGCTAAGATAGCTAAGCAAAGATGGAGAACCCAGGCACAGTGAGAATCCAGGCACAGTCAACTGGCCAGGGTGGTGGTATGAAGTGAAGTCCTTCGGAGTGGCAAAGGCAATGTAGCAACTGAGTCAAAGCAAATGACTGAGGGAAGAGAAGATCAAGGCTCCAGAAGAATCTAGGGAAGTAATGAAGGTATCTCAAGTAAGTTTTCAAACATTCAGAACCCCTGATATAAAATGGGTGTAAGGTGTAAGGTGACTTGCTCTTTGAACCAATGAGGAGAGGTCCCCCCCCCCCCCCTC